CGACCCAGCAGGCGTTGGCCGTATATGGCTGCCGGGGCCAAAGCGGATCAACATGTGGACTCCGGAGCGCTCTTCTTGATGGGGCGCCACGCATTGGATGGTCGTTGCGGAAATTATCCGAATTAAGGGATTTCGCTGATGGTGCCGATGTCCCTCATCGAATACGAGCCCTACACCCTTGGTGACGGACTTAAATTCGAAGACTGGGTTGCCGGCCTGGCAGTTTCGGGCGCAAGCGGGGCTAGCGGACAGCATAGGTATCTCGATACCAGAGCGCCGTTGGTGGCCGCCAGGAACGCGGCAAGTGGGCCTTCCTTTGCACCCTCAAGGATGAACACATGGAGGACCCGGCGCATTTTCGTCGGATTTTGTGGGATGTTGCGATTCACTATTGGGGTGGCATGCGCGCAGGTTCGCCTGCAGCCGTAGCACCTGCGCATCGGATCAGGCACCGCGAACATTGTTGCCGCATCTCAGCTCCGCCCTGGCCATTCGGCTTTGCGGCGGTGTCTGTGAGGGGGGTGAGGGAAATTGTGCCGCTATGGATGTGCCGTGTCTATGAATTGGCGCGTCGCCCGGTCGTGTTAGCCCTAGTCTTCGGCTTTGCAGCAGCTGTACAACGAGCCTGCGCCTGCTAGTCTCCTCACCGTGCCACCCATTCCGGTGGCAGGCTGGGCTCGGGAGTACGTGTGTGTCTGCCCTTGCGAGGCCCACTGTGTGGGAAGCTGGGCCAGGTTTATTCTTGGGTTTTCATACTCCAGCTCCTTTGGCATCCGCCTTGTCCGATTGACTTGGGTGTTTGCCTCTGTGAGCAGGATTGCCGTCTTCGCCCTTGCGAGCCCCGCTCTGTTGGGAAGCTGGGCTGGCTCACGTGTGTCTCTGGCAATGTGTGTGCTGGGGCGAGCCCTGTTGGGCGGCTGGGCAATCTTTGTGTGCCCCGAGCTGCCTCTGCCTGTGTGTATGCTGCTGTGCTGTCCCTGACGGCCTTGGACACGACCTTCAGCTCCTCTGCCCTTGTTTCTTTGCCCTTGCGAGGCCCACTCTGGTGGGAAGCTGGGCTTGTGAATGTGAAGTGTGGAGGCGCAGCGCCTGCTGTCATGCGTGCCTCTCTGTCCGTGAATGCTTCTCTGGGAGTGACTGGGCTGGACTGCACGTGGTCCTTCTATTGGTTCGGGACAATGTGTGGGCCATTGTGCGACCCCACGCTCATGGAAACCCGGACAATATGTGTATGCGCCAGTGCGCTACCCAGTACCACTGGATAGCGGGGCATATGAGCGGCTGTAGCAGCGGGTGCTTACGAAAGGCTGAACGATATCTGCCGACTAAGTCTGCAAGTCGCAGCCTGTCTCACCAGGATTTACATAGTCTTCTTTGTCTAGCTTCTTCTTTGTACAGATGTTTGGCTTATTGGCTTTATTGTAGTTCTTGCTGGGACCGAGTGCAGCAACTGCTGTCTTTGAGGCCCGCCCACGCCAAAAAATTGCCAATGTTCCAGAGGCATTCCAAGAGACAAGATTCGCTGACACCTCTCGCTCCGGAGGCCATGCGTTCTGTCTTGACAAATCTTTTAAAACGAGGCAAACTCAAGCTGATAAGTCGCGTCTTGTGGCCCCACGTCCTGCCTATTGATCAAAATCTCACATTGAGGGCACGCAAACTACGCATGCTTGTCGATAATGCAGAAGTGGCCTGTTTTCCGTTTTTGTCGCAGCCACGTTCTCTTACCTTGTGTTGTTGTTTGTAGCTTTCTGTTCTTGCTTTCTTGTATCTTCTGGAGACCGGACGCAGCAGCTGCTGTTACCGAGGCCCATTCACGCAAGAAAAAACTTGCAACCGGATAGATTCCCTGTACTAGAAGTCAGCTCTGCGTGCGACGCGATCTTTCTGGCAGCAAATGCCCACAATTTTTTCGCCGCTTGGAACGAGGTTCGAGTGACCACCTGCCTGCAGCGACTTTGAAATGCCGATTGTCCAACACATTGTATCACATTTTGCAGTCTGGGAACTCCTCCACAGCTGATGGATGTCCTTTCAAGTGTGTTGACAACTCGCGCAGGAATTAAATTTGCGCTGCATTCACACTTCATTGACTTCCGATACTGGCCATTACGCTGGACTCTTGGACATGCCGGATGCTGCTGCGCATATGAATGATTCGGCGATCTTTGCGTCCCTGTGGCGGGCTTAGCTGGATGTCTGTGCCAGTACTCTGTCCATCTTGTATGGCCCGGCGCTCGCTCCATCGCATCCAAGGATACCTCCTCTCTGCATGAGACAAGGACTTGCCATGGAGCGTGCCAGTTCGGTGGCTTCTTTCACCGATGGATCCTCTCATTTGTACCATCGAGTGCCCAGGGTGGACTTGCTCCGAGCTTGCACATGGATAACAACTCCACTGTTAGGGAGGACGTAGATTGGATCGCTGGCGCCCAATACAAGTTTGATGCATGCGTAGTGCCGGCTTTCACGCACTGGCGCATTACTGTTTTCATGCTTGCCTACTTACTGGCAAAATCAGCAGCGGGGTCTCCTCCATGTCCTCTGACATGTCACACAACCAGCCTCCTTGATTCAGTTGCTTGTCTCGGATCAGGCCAGCTGAGGTTTGCCGATGTGTTACGGCCACCCTGCTTCTTTCCTCTTGTTCAGTGGTTCTCATGCCGATCTGGCAGTCTGCGCAGCGCTGTTACGCAACACTTTATGCATGCTGATCTCCACGTGGATTCGACATGCCTCAACGATCTTGTGCCCTTTTTGTTGGCACCGTGCAGCTGCAAGTGTAAGTCCACCATTCTGCAGATCCAACCGGCCACTTTGCTACGAAATGCGCTGAGCCGATCTTCCGCGAGTCCTGGTGTACTAGCTGCAGGAACCCATGCGGCGGCTCTTGTAACGTACTTCCCCTTGCGTTTCTTCCGCTTGGGGTGGTACAAGTTAAAGGACTTTCGGGCCAAAGTCATGCACCCGATCTTGGAGAGCTTCGATCAGGAGAGCGAGGTATATTGGAACATGCCGAGTGAATACACTCTTGGACTTGGACTCTACCCTGCCTATGAGCTGTGGCGGTAGGAGGGACAGGACTTTCTGGGGGGGTGCTGGACCCGGTCTTCCGGAGATCTTTATCACACCACAACTGGTGCCGGAGGTCCATGTGGCGCCCAAGACGCGTGCCCGCTGGCATGTGCGGGATCTGCGCCGGTTCTGTAAGAACAATACAATCCGTTTTCTGTATTCCCTACGCAAGGATGCCCCCCATGATCCTGGACACTTTTCCGAGGCGAGTTGGATTCCTGGCGTCGAAGAGACCTCGCACCGCTCACAGTCCCACCACCTGGCCTCCAGCGACATCAGTAAGACACCCCGAGACCTATACTCACAACGCCGAACGGTTGTGCTTATGTTCGCCCAGACACGGGGCACCTGCTGGGCCGCGAGCAGGTCTGTGCTCATCTGAATGTGGGGGGGGGGCATCATACCGATGTCTACCTACCTGGCCATGTGCCCATCCCTGCCCTTGCCACCACTGCCGATGGACTTTGGACTTCTGGACTTTGGTGTGCACGACTTCGCTAAAAAACAAGACACGAGGGCTGCCCGTTGTCCGACGGGACTAGAACGGCTGCCGGAGCCTTGCTTTGGGCTCCACTCGTTGTCTTGGGCGACTTTGGACGACGGTCCACTGTTGCTTTAGCTCGAGGTCGCTGAGCGCGAGGCTCCTTTTTTACTTGCTGAACAGCTAATGCTGACAAAGTCCGCACGCTGCAGCACGTACGTAACCTCGTCCTTTAGCTTATCCGTTTCGCCGCTGTTTTTTCGTGTGTTTGTTCCATTTGTTGTTATTGTTTACTGGGACCGAGCGCTGCAGCTGCAGCCACCGAGGCCCGCTGACGCCAAAAATAACGGAGCGCAGCAGCCGCTGTCCGCCGACGCCAAAACAAATTCACCACGCTCACGCAGCCAAAACACATTTTGCCTCAGTCTGCATTATTTGCTTAGATCAGCCCTCGTGGTGCGTGCCCGTCACATTTTCAATGAATAGAATCATAGAGTGTCTTATTATGTAATCCGAGACATCCACCAGCTTAAATGCCTCTAGTTTTTCTTCCAGCTGGAAACACATACTTTTTTCCGATGCTGCAATTTATCCACCGTAGTGTTTCAATCCAGTGCAAGAAAGTTCGTGCTGCAGCTGCCTACGATTGCACCGAGCCACAGCGCGCAGAGCTAAGCCGCGAAAGTCCGTTGTGACACTCGGCTCAAACATGGCCAGCTCAGGCTAAGCTCTGCCGGATTGCAGCACCGCATGTTTGGTTCTTGGCGTTGCGCTCCAAACCTTGTCGGCCAGAGTGTTACGTGTCATCAACATGAGGAGATAAGACAATACAAGAACGATAACGATGCGTTGGAACATGGCAGCAACTGAGATGGGTGCCATATGACATATTCTTCTTAGGCGAATCAGGTGGTGCTTTCACAGTTACAGGTGCGCCAACTGTTGCAATGTTGACAGTGGATCACCGCCTCTCCACGATACACTCTACTGTTACCATGTTTGCATTGACGAAAGGTGTAAAGTATGTTCAATCGCGGGAAGTTTCTTCGGCTGCCGTCCTCAAGATTCTCCTGCGGCAGCCATGGCTGGTCGTGGGCACGGGCCCACACTCGGATGTGCATAGTGGCATAGCATGTGCAGGCACTGGTTAGCATTGCTGCAAGCTCCTGTTGGCTTTATTTTTGTCCAATCGAGCCGCAGACTGCTGCCTGACCTGTGTTTCTCGATGCCGGTGTGGTTCAAGTCCTAAGTCGAGGCTCCATACCAGTTGCCAAATGGTTTCGGATTTCTGGATCAGCTGCGAAGCTTGACGGCATGACGTTGACACTGCACATGCTGGCACTTCGTATAAGGCCGCGCAGCGAGGTATCAGTGCTGGTTGAAGTTACGCAGTGGAAGGCTTCTCTCTTCGTTATGGCGATGTAAATTCCCTGCTCACACCGCCATGCATTTGAGATGTCGTTTGCTGCTTTCGCAAGTGCCCCTGGTCGCCTGCGCCTCAGCCTCAGGGGTCTGCTGAGAGCAGCATAGGAATTGAAACTGGCTTTGTAGATTTCCTCATCTTGGAGACCGGAGGATGTGCTCTGCGTCTAGAACGAGAGTCGGAATTTGAGGGCGACTGTGTGGCAGGTGTCAGAAGAACCAGGTAACCAGATGTGCATGGCATGTGCAACAAAGATGGTTTTGTGTGCTGTCTTACGTCTTACAGTGGTCTGGTTGCAATGATTTTGTTCCATCAAGCATCTAACGATACGTTGTGCTAAGGTTGCGACCAGCATTAGCAACACGGATCACTCGAAAGCCGTCGCAGATCGGCAATGGCAGGCTTCGACTCGGTCGGGCTTTTCTGAGAGGCCACGGAATACCTGGCCCGGGCTTTGAATCGCATATCGGAGTGCAGACATGCGGAGTCTCCGTATGGCTCCGAAGTGGTCGTTGGTCGCGTTGGGGCTTGGGTTCTCAAGGGTTCTGGTGCACTGGTGCAGGACTTCAGTGTTGTACCGCCTTGACGGTGGGTTGAACCAGTTGTAGCTGTTGATGGTAGTAGGAAAGATGACATACACTATGAAGATTGCCACCACCACCACCACCATCATCACCACCATCATCATCATCCTCATCATCAATGTCTTCATCACTATGGTCGTCCCCACCGCGACCTTGAGCCCTCTGTTAGAAAAGGGCAAACATTGCTGCACAAGTGCAGGCCATGATGGATGTCCAGCGATGGCCGTCTCGGGCCATGGAAATTCTGGGCTTCGGACGGGTCTTCGAAAAGGGCCTTTGGATTCAGGCTTTGGGCTCCGGTGTCAAGGCCCGGAAGCGGACAGGGTTGGCTCTTTCTTAAAGTGGGCGATTCGCTTACTCCGCAGAGGCATCCTTCGAAGGTGCTTTCAGCTTTCTTTGTTTGGAAGGAGCCGGTCAGCCAGCTGTGAACACCCTGGCGACGACACCGACGTCGGGCTTCCCGGCACCGCTCATGCGTCGCCCAGCCGCAGCGGAGCTTCTCCCGCTTTGCTGTCACTCCCGTCGGCTGGGTCCGTCACTTCGTCCCTAGTGTGCATGTCGCATCTCCTTCCGGCCTTGACGCGACCCGCTCCCCGCTCTTTCCCACTCCGCAGGCCCAAGGCCTCTTGATCCCTTCTGCCCAGGCCATGTGCCGTCGGGAGATGTTCCGAGCTTGATTTGGCTTGGGGAGCTCGCTGCCGTCTTGATCACCCTCGGCTTTGTGATCGTGGCAGTGCACCTGCAGGCAGGGCAAGGATCGGAGCAGATCAGTGCCTCTGAGACCGGTCTCATTGGGGCTTCCTGAAGAAGTTACAGTTAGGGACACAACGAACTGACGTACCTGAAACGTCGCTGCAAGTGTGAGTTGGCAAGGAGAGATCGTGTCAGGCCTCAGTCGACCTTCGGGGTGCAGGGCTCACTCCTAAACCGGAACCCTCAACTCTCTACACCTCGGAACCCTCGGCCAGGTTTCGGAATGTCTTGGCCAGCGTCGGAAGATGGCAGAAAAGGCCGAAAAAATGGCGCATCTCAGCTCACAACAGATTCTTATACTAAGAATCTTATAAGGGTACTCTTGGGGGCTAGCGTACGATTTCTGTAACGTGGGCATGATCCGTGATGGGCCTTGAAAATCGTAGGCCTATGGACACTACGACTTCCTGGCATGTCTCTGATGTGGGGCACTTGGGAGTTTCCGACAATAGGGGACCCCAATATGGTACCCTAAATAGTAGGATCCTTATTATAAGGACCCCAAAATAAGGTATCCAGGTGCCCCTCATTCTCGGAAACTCCTAGTTCAGGCCTGACCCGCGATCACGTGCAGACGACTTCGAGCCCGTCAACCTTGCCAGAGCATAGCTGGGCGGGTTTCTTAAAATGGCGCCCCTTCTGGTAAGGATCCTACTAGTCAGGCTTCCAAACTTCGGCAACCCACGAAGTCGTCTTATTATTCCTTCTTTTCCTATAGTACACGATGTGATACTGCTTTGAATTTTCCTCTATTATACGATACTAATACTACTTCCCTTCTCATCCATGTTTCACCCTTGCACCCAGGCTCCAGGATGCCTCGAATCTAGAGCCCTCCGGCTCCAAACCCGCCTAAAGCCTCCAATACTTAGAAAGCACCGACAGAAATCCTGAACCCTGAACCCTAAATCCTGAACCCAAGCGCCCAGAGACCCTCTGTTCTGGGCTTGGGACGTCTGAAGGTATCCCTGGAGCAGCCTGCCCATCTCGGATCTCCTCCAAGTGGGCCCCAGCTTTGCCACGAACTTCCAAAGCGGGCTCAGGCAGCCTCGGGCTCCATGTTCTGGCTTTCGCCGTCGCGGTTTCCAGCATTCTTCTGTATTCTTGCTTCTATCATTGGTGCTATTACCCGCATAACTGTACTACCGTCCTTGGCCTTATGTTGCCGTTGCTTGATAATGCTGCTTCTGTTATTGGCTGACCAGCGCTGGTAGTGTGGTACGAGCTGCTGGTTTCACTTTGCTACGGCCGTGAAAACGGATGCTCGAATGCCTCTCGCGCATGCGTGAAGGCACGGAACCCAAAGCTTCGAAAACTGTAAGAAAGTTGGAACCGCCGAGAGCTTGGCCAAAGCCCGTATTGCTCAGATATAGCATGTCCCATTGGGACCCCGGAAAGCCTGCGGCACGAACCTTCGAGCCTCCGTGGCCCAAACTACCCCAAAGAAACACTCTCCTATACCTTTCTTTGCGAGGCAAGCCTTTACCAACAGAGGGCTAAGCCCGGTGGAGCCGGATCAAGTGGCCTTGGCCTCCTTCCTTATCCCGGCCGAGGCTTCATTGAGCGCTACATGCCTTCACGTCACTGCAGCTTGTTAGGCTCCTCCCTGAAGTATCCGTAGCACAGAGTCACAGCGAGTAACCTAAGCCTCCTGATTCTGGTCCGAAATTGAGGCAACTTTCCGTGAAAGCTTCTATTGCTATTATTCTTATCATAATTATGATTAGTATTATTCTTTTTATCAATACTATAATTCCAATTATTATTGTTATTATGATTATTATTATTATGATTATTATGATTATTATTATTATGATTATTACTATTATTCTTATCATAAAAGTTTTCTTTTGTTATTATTATTATTAGGAGCAGTAGTTATTCTTCTTCTTCTTATAATTATTATCATCTGCGGAGGCTGCAGGGACCCGCCAGCCGAGAGCCGTCCTCGAGCGCCACGGCGGCGTGCCTCCGGGCTCCCTGGGTGCCTGCCTTGGCTCCAAGAACGACCGGAAGATCTTCTATACATATATACATATATACTTATCTATACGTACGCAGAGAGACACACAATTATGTTTATTCATTTGTTTGCTTATTCATTTGCTTGTTTATTCGTTTGTTTGTTTATTCATTTACTGTTACATTCAGTGTTGGCATTTGTCCCAGGTTGTATTCGCGTCCGGAGCCTCGTGAGCGGCAGAAACAGAGTTCATGGACTTGGCCGTTCTGTTTTCGGTGTGAACACTATAGCCTCAGCCCAACAACTCGCAGGTGGTAAGCGGGCCTTAGCGCTCCATCTCCAACGCTTGCCGCCGGACTGGAATAAGGGATTGGTCATCCTTGGGAGTTGTACACTTCGAGATTCTCCTGCCTCCTGCCGCTGCTGCCGCTCCTTCTCCTCGTGCTTCTCTTCGTCCTCCTCCTCGTCCTCCTCGTGTCCTCCTCGTCCTTCCTGTTCTCCTCCTTGTCATCGTCATGGGCATCTTCAGCATTGGCATCTCTGCTATCACAATGTGTAGTATGTACGACGTAAGCACCATAACATTGCAGACTTTCTGTTTGATGTCTTGCGATTCTGACTGCACAAGCGCTGGGATTCAGTTTACCTCCCGGGAAGCCCTTTATAGCCTGCATGGGCCTGAGTCGAAGCACCCAGATTCCCGTCCGTTGCGGTGCTTGAGGGCGAATCATTAGGAATCTATCCAGTCGCCGTACTTCTTCCCTGACTCTTTGGCTGCAAGAACCTCTTGAGCCGCAGACCCCAAACCTCAAGCTTTGAGCCCGAAGTCCTGTCTCTTTACCGAGGAAACGGGAGGCCCTGGCACCCATGACTTTCCTTAGCCCCGATGCGGGGGGCCTGGCCTGTTTTTTGTGTGAACATGTACAAAGTGGATACAACAAGTATGCCAAGGGCATGGCGGCATGGAGGCATGCATGCGCGCAAGCATGCACACATAAGGTATCTGTGCAGGCGTGCAAGCAATCATGCGCACGCATGCATGCATGTACATATATGTGTGTGTGTGTGTGTCTTAGAACCTGACTTATTCCAGCTCTTCGAGATAGGCCAAAGCCTTCAGAATGCCTTGCAGCTTGCAGCAGAAGTACTTCTTTTCTGGAAGGTGTTCCTGAGTCAAGGTCCAGGGCTCCTTTCGGAATGAACGGGGGATCCGACTGCACAGCCCAGCCTGAGGCCCTCCGGAAGTCGCTGGAACCCCGGGCATCTCGGTTGCACACATTTTCGGTGAAGCCTGGGGCTTGGCAGCTAGACCTTCGTCCATTTCTGCGTCATGTGATGTTTGTGAGATGCACGGGGATCTGAGTCGCCATTTGCAGCATGTGGCGCAGTCGCTGAAAGCACGAAAACCCCGAATGACAAGAACGACCCACAATGAAAGTGTAGTAGCAGTAGAAACAGTAAGCCTCTCGCTACAAGTCACTGCTGCAAGTTCCAATGTTTGTCAGGTTCGCTTCGCAGGGATCGTGCAGGGTGTCGTCTCCGAGGCACCGGCAGAGGGCCGTTGTGGGTAGATGAGAGTAAAGCCGCAGATGTCGACATTCATATGCTTACGTTCATGTTAGAGTGCTTTGTCCTGTGCTTTGACCTGTTGGCATTCATGTCGTTGCACAGTGTCACCTTCTGTTAACTAGCAGTGAAACTCAAAGCTTCTGCAGTGCACCTCCTGCATCAGGCCCGCGCAGATGGATTGTGGTTTCTGAAACATTCTACCATGGATCGCAATGAAGGAGTGACGTGCTACAAAGGCCACTGAGGCTGCACCACGTTCGGGTGTAGTTTCCACAGGTGCTTTGCTTTGAAAGGTTCAAGGTTCAGGTCTAGTGCCATAGTGTTTGTGGCAATCGTTACTGGAGCTGTGCTGCAAGGCTTGTAGTCCAGGTTGGGTACGACCGACAGCTCTTCTTCGTGATGTCGTAGGCATCGTTGTTGTTCCCCCAAAATGGAACTCTTCCCCACCCAAGAGACCCCTTGCAAGCCCTCTTCCACAGTCTTTTTTCCGCAGGATGTGTGTTGCCGAGATGCGGTGCTCCGAGCAGCCGAGGAGCCCGGGAGCTGCTGAAGGCCTGGGAGAAGATGAAGCGGAAGGAGCGCGGACGCTACGTGGCCCAGGCAGCGCAGAAAGGAAGGGACTGGTAGCGGCAGCGGTGGTAGCTAGTCGTCAGTCGTCGTTGTCCTGCGTCCCGTCGTTCGGCAACTCCAGGCGTCTGAACGACCCGAAGTCCTGACTTGGAGTAAAGCCCGAAACGGCGATTCAAGACCTGCGGTGCCCCAAGCACCTGAACGGCCTTCCGCGACCCAAAGGCCCTCGACTCTGACACCCCCTTGCGCCTTCGATGTAGGCCACACACCCTAAACGCTTCAAGTCATTGCAACCGCTGATGCCAACTTGCAGGCGGAGGTCCAGCGCCCCTTCCTGATGGAGGGCCGGAAGATGGTCGTCCGTGCTTACGTGCCCGCAGGGGGTTTTGAGGGTGCTTTGGTGGAAGGTGCTGCATTTGGGTTGTGCCGGACATTTCGATAGCCTTCGGCTTTCTGTCTCCGCAGGTGATCACGCTGCCGGGCGGACGCTGCTTCATGAATCGGGAGCTGCTTCTTAAGGGTGCCCCCAGCCCATTCGGGGACGCTTCCTGGGGCCTTGGAGTTTCCAGCGGAGTTCTGCGTCAGACTATCGGTCAGAAGGCACCGTGACATAGCCGTTGAATGTAAAGTCTAGGCCCAGCGCAAGCAGTGTGGACAAAACAATCGTGGGGGTGTAGCCGACCAAACAGGTTCTGTCAGAACGATCAGAATCCTCGGTATGCGCCGGGCAAGGGTTTGGTCTCGCTCTTCAGGGGTCTGACAGTCTGTGACTTGACCTTGTGCAGATTTCCTTCGTTTTTGGGGACAGGTATGCAGCCTCTTGCGCAGAACCATGCCGACGGCTCCGTTCGCAGGTCACCCGATGTCCTACGACCCCGCCGATCCCGATCCGCTTCGGCACGTCATCTCGTGCGTTAAGCCACTTGGCAGAGAGCGTTGAACACCGTTCGGCCCAAGAGTGCGCACTTTGCGTCCTGAATCCAGGGAGTCCCCTAGCCTGCGGACAACTCGCCTCAAATCTAAGAAAGCCTCAGTCCATGTACCGTGTACCGAGGTACGACGGGGTGGTGTCGATGCGCGGCACGGGGTGGACGCACTATGAGAAGGCCCGCCTGACTGATGTCCTACCGGCATGCGGCGATGAAGCTCCCAGCCCCCAGCCCCCAGCCCCTCTCGACAGTCTTTCAGTCCAAAGATCAAGTGCACTCCACTTTCTCCCTTTGCACCTTCCGAGAGCACATAGCTCCGAAATCCTTTTGTTAGTGCACACTGCCGGCAAAGCCACACTCCCGGAGCCCTGCGGGCACTTGGGCCGCCTCGGCCCTGCATCACATAGGTGTGGCCGAAGCTTGCGAAGATGATGACAACTGTGCTGAGCCACGCGGAGGGTGCAGGAAGCCTGGCCGCAAGCCGTCGGCTTCAGAGCCTGAGCTCAAGTTCTCTTCGAAGGCCTCGCGCAAATCCTCGCTGCACTCAGGGAAGGTGCCTTTCGCGCTTCCGGACGACACGCTGCTGGACCTCTTCTGCCACCGCGTGGTGCAGAAGTACCAGGAGGGCCGGAGCCTGCAGAGCCTCCGCGCAACTTCCTCTCCGATGCGCCACTTCCGGCAAGGACGTCCTCGACTGGATGCGCTGGGGGAGCAAAGCGGGAGCTCTGCTCTACAACTTCATGGGGGTCTGAGCCTCAGGCGACAAAGAAGGGGACGGCGGGATGCAACGTGTCGATCAGTGTCGGAGAGAGCGGGAGAGCGAGAGAGGGAGGCAGGGTGCGAACTTCTGCCAAGGCTGACATCATTGTGGACGAGGACTGCCCTCTTCGCGTCTGCTCGGCTCTTGAACCCCAGGTGAGGAGAAGGGAGAGACAGAGCATCGGTGGCAGCATGGCGTTGAGGACCTCAGGCCTTGGCTCATTGAGCTGAACCCGGGCCCAGCCATGGGCTTCGACCAGCGGGCCGCTCGTCGCGCTGGGCTGTAGGGGTGGGTGGAATTGTGGAGATTCGGGCTTTGGAGGAGTCTGCTCCCACCTCGATGACCGGGCGTTGTTGTGGGGGGGCTTGAGGGGAGGACCGGTCCTGACAATGTCAGGATCCGCAGGCTACGCAGCTCCGCGCCGAAGTGATGGAGGACTGCGGGGGAAGGTCGCCAAGGCCGTTGGGATGTGAGACTCCTGAAGCTGAAGACTCACCCGAAGAGCCAGTTTGGCTTGAGTGTACGCACAGCCCAGAGCTTTCAAGGAAGGCATGGACGATCTCTCCGAGTTTCTTGTGCCCTTCAGCTTTCCGCAGGATCTCTGCGAATTTCTTCTGGACCCGCTGCTGCGCAGCGTGCAGGCGGCAACGAAGAGCAAGGACGGAAAGACCATCAACAACATGCACCTGCTGCTGCTGCCGCTGCTGCTGCTACTCCTCCTTCTTCCTGCGCCTGTTCCTCTAGCCTCTAACTGGATTACGACGATGACAACTGTGGCGACTTTGACGTGAGTCTCTGAAAGGGCAGGCGAGCTGCTGTCCTATGCACCTAGTCCACACCGCTACCGTGCGCTTGTTCTGGAGTGAATGTCATTGCGGCGCTAGTCAGCCTGTTCTGCTTGCCCGGCTGCCCAGACTCGTCCTAGAGCTTTTTTGGCCCCCAAACTTGCACCATCCGAGCAGACTGCGCAGGAGGATCGTGCCAGGCTGGCCGGACAGAGTCTTGTGGGTTGAAATCTTGATTCTTGTTGAGCCTTTTGGGTAGTCATGGCTTCTTGGTGTTTTATTCCCCCTCGTCAGGTGGAGCTCCGTCCGCCGCATGGCTGCAGGAAGGTTTGGGGAACGCAGCATCAACATGAGCCTGAGAACTTCCAAGGCAAGGTGCCCATGAAAACGTCCAAGTCGGAGCAGCGCGGGTTCGTCGAAATCTTCTGAGCAGCGGAGCCGCGACGCCAATCCGCAGAGACCGGAAAAGAAGGAGGTAGTGAGTCTTCTGAACCGGAGTCACAAGGAGCACGAACGAATGTGCTCTTTGAACACCTAAACCCTCACTGGCCCCAAAAAACGAAAGGGCGCGGCCATGCGCTGCCGAGGCCGATCAAATGCATGGCCTGCCCGAACTTCGAGGCTCCGGACCGGGAGGCCAGCATTTCCGAAGCCTCTCAAGCCTTTTGCAGTACAGGGTCCTTATAGAAGGGTCCTCACAAGGGTTCTTATAGGGGTCTTCAGGGTACTATAGTAAGGGGATAACAAACCATGAGAAGCTTGACGTTTTCTGGAAGGCCTACCGGGTACACTGCGCCACAGAGTGGCACAAGCACTCCTGTCCCGTTTGTCTACGCGCGGATTGTTGCAGTTGCTGCAGTGGAGCTCTTGTGGTGCTCGTTGTTGCTGCCTTTTCTGGCTTCATCTGGGAGACCTGGGCAACCCTAAACCCTAAACCCCAAACCCCTAAACCCGAAACCCCCAACCCTAAACCCTAGAATAGCCAAAGAGCAGAGGAAGGCTCTTGAGCTTCTTGCCAGGTACAACACCACGCAGCGGATGATGGGAAGGTCGGATGGGGCGGCCCAATCAGTATAGTTTAGTATAATCTATAATACAGTATAGCTTATAGTACATTATAATATAGTATGCCATAATCTGATATACCACAGTATCTGACTCGCAGGGCTCCTGAAAGGATGCACCAGACCAGTGGGAAGTGTATTGCGAGTAGTGCCTGCACCCGACACTCGAACCCTCGTGAGCTTCGGAGTCCTTCGCTTTTTTTTGGAGGCCTACCCTCACCGAGGAGGAGTATAATGAGAAATGCCTGTGGCCCAGTGTCAGTGTGGTGTTGCATGACAGTGAGCGCTCTCTGTGGCGGGCTGAAGGCGTAGAGTTAAGAAGTTCAGGGGCTCTGAGCCGTCTGAGACGCCCCCGTCCCCACAAGAAAGAAGGTGTTGTGTCCGGCCATCTTCATGGATAGGTTGCAGCAGCATACTATCGGCTAAAGCTCCAACTCCATGTCGGTTCCCCGATGGATCTCTGTCACAGTTGCGCCGGCTCCTGCTGCTGCGGAGCCGCCGGTGGGCTGGCACAGCTTCTGGAGATTGCCGACATCGGATGTCGGATGTTGTTCGGGTCGGTGGTCCGTAGGTGCCTGAGGGAGCGGAGCAGCTCAGTTGGATTCAGAAGTTCAAACTACTGTCTTCGAATAGCTCGGAGGGCCTCGGAGGCTCGGAGTCTGTCTGCATTCCTTTGCCAGGTGTTTTCAACCAAGAAGTGTTTATCCCGAAGAGAGCACCAGTATCTGTTTGCGGCACCGCGGAGTCTCCCCGAAACACGCCCAAGAGTTGACAACGATGTCTAAGCAACAATCAACATAAAAATAATGTCGGGTAGCTGCGTACATGTCTTGCATGTAAAGCCCTACCGCAATTGCAAAATGCAAGGCGATTCTTTTCCTTTTCAGTCGACTTGTCCGTTTTGCCGCTGTTTGGATTCCAGAAGCAGGCCGAGAAAGACTCGGCACCTGAGCCTTCCCAGGCTGGGGCAGCGTGGGGGCGGTGGGATCCGAAAGAGTCCACGGAGTGTCTATTTTTAAAGTACTATATGAGGGGTCCCGACACTCCAGATCTTGCGATTCGTGTTCAAGGGCTCCGGTACTCTGAGAAGTCTTATCCTCCTGTTGGTATCAGAAACTGGTAGATAGAGATGGTCAAGTCTAGAAATCGCATGTCTCTCCCACATGCCAGGCCGACCCGGAGGAGGCCGAGAAGGTCTCGGTTTGCATAGCCGGCTCCCGAGCTCTTCTTTCGGCTTTTTCGGGTGGATTCCAACAAGGCGGGGGGGGGAGGGGAGACTGCTCCGGGTGCCTTGTTGTGTGAGGTCTTCCACCACAAAGAGGAGAAATGGAGCCACATCTTCAAGATCCCCAAAGGACGGCCGGGGTTTGGCACCCACATGGGCAAAGAGTGAGACCCGAGCGATGCACAGAGAAAGCTGAGATAAATCGGAGATGAAAGCACATCTTCTTGTTTTTGTGCTCTTCAAACTTCCTCTCTCTCTCTAGTGACTCTCCTCCTCCGTGATATTTTGCCACACTACGAAAATGTACGGTGATATACCGTAATATACTCTCATCTACTACAATATACTATACTACTATATTAATGATGTGATTTCTTGCTGCGTCGCTGAAAACAGCAGAGAACTGCAGGCGCCAGCGTCATGGACTTGAAGAAAGCCATGGCCGGGACCTCAGTGGCCCGGTCCTGCAGCTCTGGCTTGCAGGGATCTTTTTGGGGTTTAGGGTTGAGCAGCCCTGGCTCGGAGGGATCATTTTTGGGGTGTCCAGGAGCCAAAGGTGCCTCATCCTCCCTGGGGGGGGGGGGTTCAACATTTTTGACATCCGAATCCTCAGCACCCTTAGGTTTTGGTATAGACATAGGTACATGTATATGCGTATATATATATATATATAGAAAACAGATATAGACAGATATTGATAATTGATATATGTATAAGTATATTTGGGGGTCTGGGGGTTTAGCTGAGGTGAAGCCGGGCAGCCCGGAGGATGATGCCGAGAGCCCAGAGGGACTCTGAGATGCTTTGCTCCCCGTTGCTCTTGTCCTGACAGCCTTTTGTGAGAAAGTCCATACATACCTCTGTGTCGTTGTGACTTTGGAACTGTCATGTCGGAAAAAACTGGAGCAATCATCCCTTTCCGGCCTCCTCCTCGTTGCTCGGTTGGCTGCCCTCTCGGCCCTTTGAGGTGTTATCCTTCAGCTTGAAGAGAGGCTGGTGCATGAGCGGCAGTGACAGGGTGGTGGAATGGGAAGGCAATAGAAGTCTTAGCGACTGAAGGGATGCAGTTTTATTGTCGGCCATGGGCCACGGACGAGATACACTGCCTCGCGAAGGCATCGGGTCGAGTCGTCATGAGGGATAGAGGGTCTTCTTCAGTCTAAATCTAAATCTGCTCCGGGTTCCCGGGTTTCCGCAACTGGCAGGCATGATCAGGCCCTCTCATTTCGAGACGCTTGAGAACGTCAGCGCCTCGGAAGTCTGTGTTTTTATCAGTTCACCAACCAGCAATTCGAGCGGAGCCACGTGCGGGATGTTGCCGTCCGACTCTTCAGCTGCCAGCACCGTGACATGGGTGGCTGTCAAAATTGGGGTCCCATTTTGGGTCCGTGTTATAATGCGGCACCTAATATTAGTTTATTACACAAAAAGGGACCCTAATGTTGACAACCACCCACATCGTTGAAGTGAGTCGGCAGTTGGTATGAGCTGTTGACAGAACGCCGAAGTGCAGAGGGACCACCGACCACCTTGTGCGGAGAGAGGACCGGGGACCCAAAACCCTAAACCCTAAACCCTAAACCCTAAACCCTAAACAGCGCCCCTTGGCCAAGGACGATACTTTTGACTTCGCCTACGTTGGCCCGGAGGAGAGAAATGGCTTCGGGGATGAAGCTCCAGGGGTTTCGGGTGTCTTTGGGAAGTCGGGTTCTAAGTTATTTTGGGGGATCTTATAATAGGGGTCCTACTATTTAGGGTACTACTATTAGGGTCTCGGATCTCGGGAATGGTGCACTTTATGAGAAGGAAGGGCACTAGCAAGTGCAAAGCATACAGAGTTTCTATTACCGGAGTTCTCGCCCAACCTTGCACCCAACCGCCGAACCCGAAATGGAGAAAACATAGATCCGCACAATTCGAGAAGATAAATTGACGGGGTGTCGTAGTTGCCGTAGGCCAGATGTTCGCATCTTCGGGAATGCGGCATGCGTTTCATTCAAAATGCACCGAAGAAAAGACACGATGCGTCCCTGCTGAGCTTCATGTATGTATTGCATCCCTCTCCTTGGCCGTTGAGGCTTGGCAAAGCCTTCGATTGACAGGGTAGAGCAGCTTGAAAAGCTTTGACAAAGTTCAAGGGTGGAGAGCATGGAAGACGCGGCTCGGGCGCCTTTCATGCTCGAAGACTCCGAAGCGCCGCGAGGGAGACGGTTTCCTTCGCTGCGCCAGGTCGGCGGGAGGGGTGCAGACTCCCACCCCCTAGAAAGCAAAAGAATGTGCTCGGGCTTTGAAGCCTGGAAACCTGGATCGAGTTCAGGATTTGCGCGAGGAACCTGAAAGTATTCCCCCCTGGCCCTTGGTTCCCAGCTGCCGTGGTGAGAAAGAACTGGCCGTCTGCAGCCGGAACACTGCAGCATAAACGTCGACGACGACCCCTAGCGAAAAAAGGCACATGCCGCGGACATGCACGATCCTCGAGCAACGCGTAGCTTCAGTTACCATCATGTACACGTAATATCTTTCCAAAGCCAAAGCTCACCGGAGGTGGCTGCAAGCTGCCTCCTGTTGGTGCTGGGTCTCCTAATCGGTGCAGCGCTGGCTTCCGTCTCCATCCGGGGACCCCCGCGCGCTGCAGGCAGGTGGCGAGCTCTGCCCTGTGGGTTCAGAGGTGGTTGATTTGTTGGCCTTGGGTGAATGCTTCCGTTGGAAAATGTAGAAGGCTGGAGTTTGAACGTCGTTCCCAGTTTCGCAGGGCGACTTAGCAAGAAAGAGAAGTCAGTGAGATCGTGTGTCCTAGTTCTTCAGGTGTAGGCCTAGGTCCATGACTCTGCGGCCTGATCCGGAGGTGAGGCCTCGCCGTCATCGTCTCCCTTAGACTCTGCTACAACGCCCCCGGCCACACCACCGAACCCCTCCGCGGCGGCCACTTCGCCGGCCTCTTCGGGCCGCGCCGCGCCCGTGGAGACGAGGGAGTGCCTCGATCCCTAAATTTCCGCTGTTTATGGGGTTTTCTTGGCTGGCTCAAGTGATGCAGTTATCTCTATCGGTCTCTAGGTGAATTCCAGCTGATGCCAAGTGCCCGGAAGCGGAGCTAAAAGGCGGAGTGATGTTTCCAGAGTGTGACGTTGCAAGTACCGGTCCCCGTCGTGCTTTGAATTCTGCTTGAGCATGTTCTCTCCACTAGACTCACCAGAGCTACTTCTTTCTACGGGTGATGCATCGGCATGCCGTGGTGCACGACATTCCGGTTGAAGTCCTGTGATTTTTTAAAGTCCTGCGAATCAAAGTCCTGTGATTTAAAGTCCTGTGGTTGAAAATTAGGTAGACACCCCAACTCCCAAAACAGCTCGAAGCGCCACAAGATCTTCGCAGATGTACCCCGAACGATACACCCTACCTTAACCCACCAGAACCTACTTTTGTTGGTAGGGTCCTTATAAATCCCATATTAGGGTTTATAATAAGAACCTGCAAAGAGGTAGGTTCCGGTAGGTTAAGGTAGGTCCTGGGTGTTGAGACCAAGGTCTGAGACTGAGGCTCTGGCAGAGCTCCGCAGGAGCTTGGACAGGCCCACTGTCGGCAGTGGCTTCAGGGTACAGAGAGAGGGCCGAATTTCTTCGCTTCTCCAGGGCAGTGCTTCCAGAGTTAGGGACGGAGGCTGTGGAAGCTGGAGGTATGTCGTGAGGTTTATAGTAGGGCACCTCCAGATGCTGAATCCGGCGTCTTTCCTTCTATGTTGACCGCTTTCGCAGGCTCGCTGCCAAGATGAATCTCGAACAGCGGGCACCGACGATTTCTGCTTCCGCCGAGACCTATGTGCATCTGTGTGTCAATGACACGCAGGCGACTCCCGGAGCGGGCGGCGCCATCTCTAGGTCCTCCGGCAAGCCCAGAGATCCCAATACCCCTTCATTAAGGAATAAACATTAAACCTTAATATTAAGGTACCTGTTCTTTTTGGTATATTCCTTAATTAAGGGGTCTTGGGTTCTTTGGGAGCGCGTATCGACACCAAGATATCTTGTTCAACTTCAGTGAGCTTTTGCTTCAGCCGAGGCCTTGTGTTCCCGAGGACTGTGAGCAGGGCGATATGGAAGCGGGCATGGACTGCCACTGGACTGGCTATACGGCTCATTGCCAACGGATCTGCAGAAGAGGTTTGCAATCATCTCCGGCTGGCTCATATGCAGATGCCAGCCAGAACCCGATCTCCTGCTCCGACGTTTTTACCGGTCGCGCTCGCGATCACGTGGAGGTTGTTTCGACTTCCTTGGAGTGGACAGCTTCCTCCAGTGACTTTGCCATAGTGGACCTCTGGGGAGGCGGCGGTGGGGGTACGGGCACCGTGGTCAAGACACAGCAAGGACGAGGCATCACGGTAGTAAGCAGCAACAGAGATTATTCAGGTAGGCTAAGCGGTTCCGAAAGCCCATGGCCGCAGTACTTCGATCCCAGTGGATCCTACTTCCCTGACACAGACAGTGCTGGGAACTCACGGTTTGCCCGTGGGGACGACCTCTTTCATTTCAGCTACAAGGAAGACTGTCAGTGCTGGAAGTTCGCTTTGAATGCTGACTACTTTAACAAGGCAATGGAGATCAGGCTGACGGGAACCGTTGATCAAGTTCCACTTGGAGATCGCACATGGTCGATTCTGATCCAGGACCGTGAGCGATACACTGGCAGGCTGAGCTTGGAATCCTTCGACAGTTCCTACGGCATTTGTGGCGGGTCAGGTGGGGCTGGTGCCCATGTCCGTGCCCTAGTGGCAGTGAAGGGCGGACATACCTACCGAATCGAAGCCGGTCGTGGCGGACGTGGCTCCAGCGGCCGTGGCGGTGCCGCGGATGGCCAGAGCAGTCGCATGCTAGAGAAGGGACGCTCAGGAGAGTGGCGAGTGCTGGCCGAAGCCGGAGGGGGCTCCGGCGCAGGATCCTTCGATGGCAGCCTCAATTTTTTCCCGGGTGGTCGGGGCGGGACAGCCCCCAAATTGCCGGCACACACTTCTGCCGTTCCTGGACAGCCAGGAAGGCCCTCCAGGTCCAGCCTCATGTCTGACCACCCGATCTTGTCATCCCAACAGCTGCCAGATTTTTGGACACCACTTCCTGAGAGGTTGTTTCCAACAGGCATGTCTTTGACATGCACGCAGCCGCGGAAAGGACGTATTGGTATCAGTCTCTATGATTCTGACGTGTATACGTTACCACCGTGGTGTAGAGCCACGAACGCGAGGCTTCCCGTGAATACTTACTCTTCGTTTGCGAACTCTGATTACTTTCTCACTTGTGATTCAGCCGGTAATTCAGCCGGTACTCCGACTTGCATGGGCGCCCAGTGGCCGCAGTCTCCCCCTGCAGGGCAAGGAGCGACGGGCGTGGGGCTAGCGGCCAAGATGCGGAGTGGTTGGGGCGGGACGGGCAGCTGCCCTCAAATCAAGTCGGGCTCCAAGATAGAGCTGCAAGCGATGGCTGGCGGAGATGGACACAACGGCTCAGTTATACTGAGGCGATGCAAGAGGGAAGGAGCTTATACCTTAGCTCTGCAGCGCTGCCCAGACAGCCATGCCTGGACCATCCACGGCCTGTGGCCACGGGGAGTGCAAAACTGCAAGGTCGCTGACTTCGACGTGTCGGCCTTGTTCGCTTTACAGACGCAGCTGTCCACCCAGTGGCCCTCTTGCTCGCGGCAAGTCACTGCTGCAGCCTTCTGGGAGCACGAGTGGCAAAAGCACGGCACCTGCTTCGGCGGCAGCCTCGCCCACTATTTCGAGCTCACGCTCCGGCTGCTGGGTCAGCACTCCCATGCCTGCGATGGCTTCACCTCAAAGGACTGCCGGCTCTGCCTCACGGAGAACTTCGAGCTGTGTGACCTGGACTCCTAAGGGCAGCACTCGCTCCGTGGACCATCCGGCTGCAGCACTTATGCGGACCCTCCTCGACGAGGCAAAGCCATGGGCAGCATGGACTGCAGCCGGACAAATGCAAATCGCTGCAAGGGAAAGGACTTGAAACCTCGAAGTACATGTGCACATATATATATATATATAGAGGTATGTATATGAATGAATATATATATATATATATATAGGTTATGTATAACTATAGCATCATATAATGCAACCCGACAGAATTTTACCCCCACAGCCTCGATCCCGAGTCCCTCCAGCCTCTGCAGGAAGGAAAGTCCCTGCTGGAGCGCGCCCGGAGCCCCGGAGAGTCTGAAGCAGGTCCTGGGCGCTTGGGGCTTCGAAGACTCCTCGTTTTGTTGTGTACTAGAGGGGGGATTTTTGCAGCAGTCACATGTTTCGGCCCCACCCTCCAAGCCACGGCTAAAGGATGAGCGGCGACGGCGCGATGAGCAGGCAAAGCCTTCATGGGAGTGTGCTGGTGTCTTCTTTTTGCAGGCAGGCAGGCAGGTAGGCAAGTGCCACAGTTCATAGGATGTATGTGACTTTAGGTTTCGGATTTCCGTACCTGCCTATCAGTGGTTCATGACGATTTCTCTGTTGCAGATAGCCCAAATCCTCTCTCTCTTTGGACCATTGGAACCTGACTGAAGCTACGCGACTCTAGTGCCAGGCCTGAGATGCATCTGAGGCTCGTGCGGGATAATGTCAGCGATGCCACTTCGGCTCGGCTGTTTGCCACAAGGGGTGTCAGCGCATGCATGCTCTCCTTCTTATGTTCAAGAGCAGCATGTGGATTCAATGTAGATGCACGGCTGCCAAGCCTTGGAGTCCGTTGTTGATGCCCCTGAAACGAGGCGGCTTCAGAAACTGGGGTGTCCACAGGCCACAGGTATGGATGACATGAGACCACAAGCAGGCAGAAATATTGCAGCGGAGGAGTCAGGGGTCCCCAGTTTCAGGGAAGAGAAAAAGAAGAGATACCATTGTCGCATCGGCATGAGTGTGCACGAAGTGGGCACTGCTTGAGAGCCCGTTGTATTTTTCTGCAAGGGCCCCAGTTTTTGAATCCGTCAGCTATTTTCCCAATCCTCTTGTCCATGACAAGAGCTACAATGATTTGGCTCGCCGGTCAACACGACCGCCGGAAGTCCACAGAAACGAAGAGACGGTCTGGACTCAGAAGAAAGTAAACCCTAAACCCTGAACCTTGAACCCTAAACCCTAAACCCGAGCCCATGAACCCGGAACCCCAAACCTGTGCCGTGCCTTTCGTCCCCAGCCTGGGCAATGCTCAGGATCAGCTGTCTCGGTGCCGCGGGGGAGCGCAAAAGACAAGGGGCCCTCCCTGTTTTTTGGATCTGACAGTAATATAGTATATCAGTAATATAGTGTATTGGTAGTTTATTTTTAGCAATATAGTATATTAGTAAGTGAAGCTGCCGTCATAGAGAATTTCGTTTCCGAAGTCGTTGAGCAGAGATGGTGTAGCCTTTGCCCTCAGCTCCGATGACGCTCCACCGCAGCTTCTTTCAAGCCGGACGAATAGCTTGGGCTTGTGGCAGCTTATTGCTTTATCTTCGGTTCCACGGGCGTTTGGGCCTAGATGCCTGGAGTAGACACGGATCCGAATCATCTTGTCTTGACAGAGGCTTTTTCGGGAAAACCTCACGAACCCCATGGGTTCGGACCTCTCGGACCTCCCCCCTCCCTTCGTTAAGAAAGCCTGGTAGCAGAGAGTCGGAGTCAAGATGACCACTTTTGAGCGGCTCTTCGGAGCGGAGCCGGCGGCCCGCCAAGGCGGGGTGGGGTGGGGGTGGGTCGGGTTGAAAGCATGTTTATGGAAGACGACATCTCTCTTGCCCCAAGCTTTTCTTGGCGATGATTTTTTTAAGGCCAAGCTCAACTCTATCCCTAAACCCTAAACCGTATAGAGACCCTGGGCCCGACTGCCGCCCCAAATCTCAGATCTCGCTAGGAGCGCAGTCCCCAAGCCGAGACCGGCCTCCGTCGATTCTCCCGCTCCTTGGCTCTGAAACAGAGATGTTTGCTCAAAGTTCCGGACTCAGCATCCAAGGAGCGGAAAGCTCCTTGGATTCAGAAGCCCCCCTGGAGCCAAGCAGTAAAAAGACCATGGGTTTTCAGCTCCGATTGGCCCAAGCACTGGACAGAGCGGACCAAGCAAAGTTAGCCTCTGCCTGGCTGTAAACCCGACTACCTGACTTCCCGAGGCTTGGAGTGCCTAGCTGTAAACCTTCCCTCTGCAATCCCGATGCTCTACAAGCCCCAGGCCGAAATCCCCGAACCCTGAAACCCCGTGAGCGCTGCCATAGCCCCTTCAAGCCGTTAAGCCCTGTGAACCCAAGCCCTTGACTCGACCCTAAACCTTACAAAGCCCTAAGCCTTAAAAGACCTTAAAAATCCTAACAACCCTAAAAACCCCTAAAATCCCTGAGCCCTAGAATGCCCTATAAGCTCACCAAGCCCTAAAAACCTCCACAACCCTAAAACCCGTAAGACCCTTAAACCCTGGAATGCCCCACCAGCCCAAGGATCGGCGAGACCTCGGTAAGGCGCCCCGGGCGCAAGAGCTGGCCCCAGGCCGCGGCGGCCAAGGGCCCGGGAGCCCGGTGTTTACCGAATGTGATAGTAGTATAGCAAAGTATAATACTATAGACGATCGGATAATAGTAGTATAGTATAGTAGTGTTATAGTATGATAGTATTAAAGTATAGTAGTGTTATAGCATATTAGTGTTGTAGTACATTAGTATGATAGTATGATGGTATTCTAGTATGATAGTATTAAAGCAGTCTCTTTGGTGGGAGGTTTTTGGGGAAGGTTTCACAGGTTCTGTGTAGGGGGTGGTTTCAGAGATTTCCGGGTTTCAGTTTGTCTTGGGGGTGTTGAGTTGAGTGTGAAAAGAGTTTCGGGTTTGGGCTTTGGGACTGCTGGGGGGTTGGGCTAGCAGATTCAGGGCTCCGAGGTTTAGGTTTGATTCTGTGTTGCAGAGTTTCGATTTACGCTCATGAGCATTGCATGTGAGGCAGACAGCTTGTGCGCTGCTCCGAAGAGTCTCAAAGACGTGTCTGTGTTTCCTCCTAGGTCTGGACACTGGCCTTTCCAACGAGGCCGCTGCGCTCCACGCTCCAGCGATTTCCGTCTAGAAGTGTGAGCATGGGTCCAAGCTAAAAGCCGAGTTCATCAGCCAGCATCGTAAGAGGGAGGCGGGCATGAAGGAACAAAGTCATGTACTGATACCGGCTCCGATCTGTTCATGATGTAGTTTTCCCCAGACTGGCGCTTCACTCGCTCATCCTCTGCGGCTGTCTGGTTCTTTTTGCAGAGGATTCCTCCGACAAGCTGCTGGGCCCTCGCAAGAAGAGGATCCAGGACCCAGCACGCCCGAGTCGTCTTAGCCAAGTTTCTAATGAGTTTCTGGACGGGATTAATCAGGAAGTGTGGAGGCAACGCTGGCAATACCATCAAGAATTGTATGCGCCCTGGTTCCTGAATTCCGAGACGCCGAACCGATAATCCAACACTTCTAGGGTGTGTTAGCCTTGCTGTTCGCTCACCCTGTGCGGCCAACTCTGAGCCCTGGCAGACTCCACAGGAGCCCGGCTTCAGCCCGAACGTGGGCGGCGCGCTGTCACCCCGGAGCCAGGTCGTCACACGTCTTTTTGCCTGCAGTGGGCAGAATCGCTCCCTGGTCGGTTCCCCAAACCCTAGAAGCCCAGAGATCCCAATACCCCTTAATTAAGGAATATACTTTAAATTATAGTAGGATCCCTAACATGATTTAAGGTGTATTTCTTAATTAAGGGGTATTGGGATCTCTGGGAGGTCCTCAACTCAAGACCTTATGAGCCGTTCACAAGCTGGGCCGAATGATTCCCCGGCAGCTTCAGCCTGCGTTACTTTGGAGTAGAACTTACTCATACCCGCAAAAAGAGGTGCGTCTCGCTTTCCGCAGCACCCGGATATAACCCTAAACCCTAAACCCTAAAGGCTCTCCTGGACGCCCGAAACCAAAAAGTCGCCAGGGCTGGTCAGGAAGCCCAAGAAGTCCGAGCCCAAGGACCGGAGCAGTTGTGTTCTCTTACTATTACCTATACTATGCTGGGGGTTCCGTGTTATCATTATCGTATAACCTATCCCCAAAACCCTTTTCTAGTGATTAAGGCCCCTTATTCTATGTACGTGGTTGCAAAGGGTCACGTATCATTGCCAGCGCGGCAGTAGAGAGCGTTAAGGCCGTTAAGGCTACCCCCGAAACATTGAATTCGATCCCAAACCCGATGCCCAAATTTTCGATGCCTTCCTGCGCAAGGTTTGGTTCAATCAACTTGAAACACAAGTTTTGCTTTAGTTACTTTCTATTCAATTATAAACACAACCCAGAAACGAGACGTGAGTTATCCGACCGGGTGTTCACAGGGTTCGCTGGAGGTGCAAAAACACGAGAAGACTGTGCGAAACCGTGGTTGGATCGTGCATGTCTTATCTGAGACCAAACTGAACACCAGGACTCCGTTCGGCGACGTCCCGGACACCCCGGAGAAGGACTGGAGCCCTGGTTATGTGCATGGTAAGGCTCGACTGAGATCAAGGTGACAACAGACTATAAACTAACTAAAGCTGATGACGAATGACGACTTTTGCCAGTGTTTCTACTGTCCCACCTGATGTCGTCATAAATTCTGTCAACGCCATGAGCCTGACCATGATTTTGATTGCAAGTGTGATGACAGCGAGCATGAGTACGGGACATGACGATGGTATGTAGAGTGTGAACACACCATTACAGACAGGCCTAGACAAAGCTGTGTGCATGGATGTATCGATGTGCCTGTCAACAAAGTCCCCAAGCTGTAAATCGGGTACCCTTTCTCTCGTAAGTCCTTGGGCTTCGCTTCTGGCAGCTTCGGGGCTCTGAAATTGAACTATTAACTATGCAGTCCAGGAAACGCCCCCACGGATATCATGCCATGTGCTTCGGTGGTCCCGCCGGAGTGCGTTTTGCCTCCAGGGCTCAGTCGACTTTGATTAACCTCGCGCGTGCGACATGGGCGACAGCTGCCTGCAAAGTTGCGGAGCAACGGAGAGGTTGTTTCCGGGTTCTGCCTCGGGAGGAAATGTTATGCTTTCGCAAAAGGCCCGCACGAATGAAAGACGCAGTGGCAATCCAGGACAATGTGGCAGGACGTGTTTCCATGCGGGCGACAAGGCCACCATTACCGGCCAAGCAGTTTCTGCCAACTTCACCTTGCCACACACCTTCAACAAGACCCATCAAGCATTCATGGCATTTCGTGGCGATGGGCGAGCTACGCAGAACGAGCATCCGATACTTCCGCATCTTACCACGTGCGGGTGGAAGGAGCCTACTGTTCCAAGATGCCTCGGCCTCCGGCGGAGGAACACGGGGCATCCCCCGACACGGCCGAATCACAAGCCAGGGCCATCGTGGTAGCAGTCCTTTTCATGGTAACCTAACCCGATAGAAGGAAGCGCAGACATCCGAGACGGCACTCGGATGCAGGGCAATTGGGGGCTGGTTTGCTCTGCGCAATGCTCTGCATGTCGAAGCGAGGAGTGGCGGCCATTGCGCAGAAGGCATGCGCCTGCAATGCTACCGGGTCTTCTCAGAGCTTGGGTGCAGGGCTTCGGATGTGGTGTAGGGCTTGCATTGGGGCTCTGGCCCATTTACACTCTTCTGTGCTTCATGCTAGAACCTTGAGATTCTGCCTCCCATAGCTATGAAACTTGTGCGTTTCACACATGCAGGCGTCCTTCCAACGAGAACGCCACCGCAGACTGCCCAGTTTTTCGCTAAACGGGTGAGGATGAAAGCTTCAACAGGCACGTAAATATGCCTGCTCTTCTTCTGGCAAACTCATCACCTTTCTGGCTTGAGCCGAGGCTTCTCCGCCTCAAGCCCTCCAGCTGACTCCACCCAGAAAACCCGAAATCCCGAAAAGCCACGGCAGCCCCTGAACCCCTTCCCCTTCCCCACCAGCGTCTGAGGTCGCCTTGCCACCTTGGGTTCTGCCAGGCGGGCTGTGAACTTTACGGTGGCGGTTGCGGTGTAGCAGGGCCTCAGGGGGATGTGTTGTGAGGGAGTTTTGACGTCGGAGCAGAGCCCTTTCTTCACCCTCAACCCGTGGCCCAGGCAATGCGGTGTCGCCCCGCTCTGCGTCGCCCCGTTCGCCCCGCTCTCCTCGGCTATCGTCCCCTGCATCACCGGCCTCACTGTGGGTGCCGGAGAAGGATCGGCGGGCCCCTGGGCTGGAAATCAAGCAGCAGATTCAGTTTCAGTGTCTGTGAGCTTGGGAAGTTAGCCTTCCGGGTGCATGGTTCATCATGGTTCTCGTTTAAGTTGTCAGGTCTCAGGTACGATCACGTGCGGGGGCAAGCAGACTCTGCAGTATCGGCTCACCCTCACATCATCTTCTGCTTGCTGCCGAGGTCACAACTTGGAGGAATGGCTATGACGTTGACACCTACAGGCTGCCCTGACTTCACATGGGAGTTTCCGAAAATTAGGGGCGCCTCATTTTGGGGTCCTCCTAATAAAGATCCTACTATTTAGGGTACTATATTAGGGTCCCCTATTTTCGGAAAGAGCCCAGACAGAACTCGGGTGTGTTTCTCGGCTCTTTTGGAAGACCTGCCCTCTTCTGCCGTGATGTGACAGGTACATCAAGGTCTTCCCCGACTCCATCCAGTACAAGTGCCAGCCTCGGCTGCTGCGAGCAGTTGAGAGTCTGACAGTGTCGATCCTTGCAGCCATACTCTTCCTCGAAGCAGATTGACTGGCGGTTTTATACTTACAGCTGGATGGAACACGACAGCAAACCAACGCAAAGTACTTCTTAAGCCCATAGGCACTAAACTTTTTTCAGCTCAGTTCATGCCTCTGTCAACACATAGCAGGAGCTGTTTGGCACTGCAGCCGACACGCAGCCCTTCACCCAGCGATGTGGAGAAGGCGACGCGAATGAACTAAGCCTTTCCCGACTGCTCTGGAAGTGGTTCAGGCTTCGGGGTTCGTGGGGTAAAAAGTGACCCTCCCTAACCCCCAACTAAAAAGCCTTATACCCAAACAAACCCTAAAACCTACCCTGAACCCGAAAAGCGCCTGTCTTTAGAAGCGACTTGCCTACGAGCCATGTGTGAGCTAAGTTGCAACGTCCCAGAGTCCTCCAGACTTTATTTTTCTTCAGGGGTTGCAGAGCTTCCGGTTCTCTGCAAAATCCAGACGGAATGCAGTATATGTCAGTATCAGTAATTGCATTGCAGTCACATGTTGGTTACATTTCGTAAAGTACAAATGCTACAGTGACGATCTCCTCAGGATGCCTATCGGTAGGTTTCCCAGATTTCGTCTTCAGTAGCTAATTGCTGGTGCCGCGAACGAATATGTGTCATTCAAAGGTCACGGTTTTGCAGTTCCTGATCTTGCGTCTTTTTTCTTGTTGCGAGCACAGTTGTTGATTTTTGCCATGATTATGGATACTCGTCAACTTTTGTGGTTGTCATGGAATTCTAGCTGTTATTGCGATTGCACATGTCATGATTATGGAGTCGTTGTCCTTTCTCTGGCGTCTTGCTACGGCGGTACTGTACCATGACGACAACGATGTACTGCGACTGCCGGTACGATGACTGTGACTTTAGTTTCATGTCATATATATATATATGTACATATGTACATATGTACATATGTATACATATATTTTAATTATATATATGTAAATAGGCTGAACCTGAAGTCCCCAGGGCTGCAAACGCCAGGCAGAAGGAGACCGAACCCCAGTTCTCGAGACACCGCGGACGAAGGAATCCTGCCAGCTTGAAATCCATAAGCCTGGCCCCATGCCATTGACACGAAAAACCTCCCTGAAGCGGCTTTTAAGGAATTGAGAGTATCTTAAAATCATAGAGGAGTCTCCGAAAATTAGGGGTACCTTACTTTGGTGTCCTTACAACATCTATACGAGGGTCCCCTATTTTCGGAAACTCCCGCAACAAGCTCAAGCTGAGCACTAAACGCCGCGACACCGGATCCTTCTGTCACTTCAGGCCGAGCACGACGGCATTTGGGGGCCCGACGGCCTGTTGAGGGCTTCGGGCCCAGAGAAAGTTGGGGGGACGGGTTTAGGGTTTAGGGCGGGACAAGGTGTAGGGTTCAGGCTTCCAGGGCCTCGGATTGAAGGCAAACGTGCGGACGGATTTTGGATCTAGGATACAGCGTTGAGGCAAAGGGCTTTGGGGGCGGGTGACCTCTTCGGCTACGATTCTCCAAGGGCGCCTGCCGCCGACGCATCTCGCCAAATGCCAGGCTCACCCACTCCTGCTTTCGGCATACCGTTTCTCAGTTTGAGAGCTTGCCGTAATGGGGTTCACGATCGGCATATTGGCTCGTGTTTGCTGGGCAAGACGCGACTTCCCAGACCAACTGTGACATACGCAGTGTACGAAAGACTCTGATTCTCCATCCAACTGATGCACACACACAGGGCGATGTCGTTCGCCCCCGAAGAATCTGGGAACTTTGAAGTTGCATGCTCTGACAGGGGAACGATGAGCTCCATTGCCCGGGCCTCGGATTCCCAAACTAGGGTGTGCCTGATGCCTCTGGAGCAACAGTACCTATACTATTTTGGGGGTTCCTTATCAATTATATTTATAGTATACCATACCCCAAAGCCCTATTCTAATCATTAAGTAAAGCCCCTACCAGGCAATCACTTATCAACAGCTGGCATGTATGATGGCAGCAGCCGTAGGGAGCCATCGTGGCAGCCAGCAGGAGAGGACGGCAGGTAATGGTTGTGAGTGGTACTTGAGGCGTTCACACCCCCACCATCGCCAGCAACGGATGTGGGAAGTCCGACGATGTCGCCGACGGCCCGGTACCGAGATCTCCAAGGGCAACTTGAACACTGACACTGAGAATGCTAGGCTTAGCTAGTAAGTTTAGTCTTATAGCTTCGATTCCAGAGGTTCAGGGTTCCGGTTTAGGGTTCGTGCCTTCTCTGCTTTCGTCGTGTGCGCGTGGACAGGTGGCTGCAGACAAGTTGCAGGGCCTGCAGCTGTGGGCTCAGACTGCAGTATCAGTACCATTGCCACAACCATTACCACAATCATTACCACCACCGCCACCACCACCACCGGCACCGCCGATACCAGTGGCACCAGCACTGCCACCAACAGCTAGACCATCGACGACGCCTACTAACGGCTACTACTATGCTTACTGTCATGTTGATTTTCTACTTGTATGTTCTGTAATCCTGTGAATGTCCCGAAAGGACGTTGAATATAACCTGACAAACCACGGCATCTCTGCATCGGTTCAGGACGCTGGGAGGCCACCAGGGCCCATTTCCAGTCCTTGGGGGAGTTCCTCGCAAACGGATGCGCCTCGACGCATGATCTTCGGCTCTCTGAACATCTGTGGTGCAAGGAGGGGTTCTGCTCAGTTCGTCCGAACATGTCGTCAGGCATGCCGCTGCATGACAGGCAGCTGCAAATTGGGACTTTCCGGAAATAGGGGACCCTGATATAGTACCCTAAATAGTAGGATCGTTAATATAAGGGTCCCAAAAGAAGGTACCCCATTTTCGGAAACTCCCAATTCTGGCTCTGTTTCGAAAGTATGCACCTCAGGCAGCGAGCAGCTGACAGTCCTTCCAATGCGGTTGAGGCTCGACCTAGGGTTGACGGATGTGCAGCGTTTCAAGTCTCTGTTTGCGGCATGGAATTGAAGAGGGGGCCTGGTATTTTCAAAATGCGGGAAGTCGACGTGAACTGTGAGGGATCTGTTTTGAACCTCTTTTGCAGGTCCCCTTTTTCCGTAAGCCCCCGACTCCCTGACCCTCCTCCCTCAGACCTGAACCCCAAAGTAGCCACCGCCAACCCTGAACCCCTAAACCCTCAACCCTGAACCCTGTATAAGTCCTAAACCCTATTCTTTAAAACCCTAGACCCCATCGAAATCCTAAACCCCAAACCCCCAAGCCCCAAAACCCCAAGCCTGCCAAGGAGGCCTCCCCTGACACCGCCGGGATGAGATCTCCACGTACCTCGCCCGGGTAAGGATCCGGGGGGAGGCTTCCAAGGATGGCTTTGTCGGGACCCAGAGTTTGAGTCCCGGGATTTGCGTTTTATTTTTTTGCCCGTTTGTTGGGGTTTGGGGCTGAGCTCCCCGGTGCAGACACGGGGGGACGAGGTTGGGGTTGAGCGTGCGGAGACGAATCGACCATCCAAGCACCAAAAGCCTCCGACCTAACCACAAGCCAGCAGGGAGCCGCAATTGACCACGATGAAGAAGCAGAAGCAACAAGCGACCGAAACCCCGAACGCCCAAGTCGCAAAGAAGACAAGTCTAGCATCAATAATGGTAACAGCACTGATAATCACTAGTAGTAGTACTTGATAAATAGGAATCCTTTCAGTCTAATAATAATGGTAATAACACTGATAACCACTAGTAGTAGTAATTTATAGAGTAGGAATACTAAGAAAGCGAACACCGGCCGAGGCTTCTCTTGGTCTTCCGGCATGGTGACCCCCCCTGGTAGCGGAAGGTTTCGGGGCATCGTGGACGGGGGGCTTGTTTCAGAGTCGCCCAGGTTTAGTCGGTTTAGTCACAGCAAGAGGAGGCCGATATGAGAGAAGCTAAAGCATGTTTGTCTCTTTCCGCTCATTTTGGAAAGCCACAGTTCAGCATCCAGACACGACTACATCAAGACAGGCTGTGGCCAAAGCCGGTAAGTTCGACTACGCCTGGAGGGAAGACTCTACATCCAAAGCCCAAGCGGCATAAAGTCTCCGAACCAATGCCTCAGTCTAAATAGGCTTTCCGACTGACAGTACTTGGTAGGAGGAAAAGAGGCGAACAAAAGCCATAAAAAGCCAAGCTACAACCAGCCTAGCCAGCCTGAAACCCTTATCACCCTCTAACCCTACACCCTTTCTTCGTCCGTCCACCTCCAAGCGACCTGCCGGGAAGCTCCATGGTCCTCTAGGTTTGAGGGGTAAGGGCCTGGGGTTTTGGGGGTTTAGGGGCTTGGGGAATGGCCGAAGCGGTGTTAACAAGGGCTTCTCGGACGCAGGGACAACAGGATATTGCTGGCAAAGAGAAATTACCACGTGCTTGAGCACTGCGTACCATTGACACGTTTGCGTGATGTCGTGAGTCATGAGTATCCCGAAACTTCGCTTCTGCGTCGTGGAATAGCAGACGGTTCCTGGAGTTGCACAAACTGTCGCACACGCCGCTTCGATCGTACTTCGGAAGACTTGGCAGATGTTGCAGCTGGAGTGGAGGTTTCTAGCCAGGCTTGAGAGACTTGCCGGGCCAGGGGGCTTTTAAAGCGCGTCTGCTAGGTACCAGATCGCCAGGCTGTGCAGCCACCGGTGCCTTGCCTTCATGGGGGCGAGGGCTTTGGAAGTCTTCTGTTCGTACCCGTAAACCGCTTCAGCCCTAGGGTTCTCCCTAAGTCCTAAAGAACAAGCCCCAAAGGACCTGGCCCTGAAGTTGAAGTCCTTATAAACCCTAAAACCCTAAGCTCTAAATTCAAAACCCACGTCCGAAACACGAATCTCCAGCGTTTCACTGCCAAGGCTTCGATCCTAAGCTCGATAGCCTGTCATAAGCTAGATCCTCATTTCTATGGAAAATCCTCAGATACTACACTCGCTGCTTCGACAGTAGAGATTCCAGAGTACTGTTGTTATTCATTTTCATAAATCGTGTTGTTGTATTGATACGGGAGTCCAAAGTATTTTTGTTCTTTGTCTGCTCATTGTCGCACTTATACCTGCGACTGCGAGTATTGCCACTACTGTTCTTATGGCCATTACCGGTGTTATTGTTTCCATCGCCAGTGTTTTTGTTGTGGCGACGGCCCTTGCAGGATCTCTGCTGGCTTTTTCAGACTAGTGAAGCTTGTTAGGTTCATTGCGGTTGTTGTTCCAGTATCATGTACATCTTGCATATAAGTGGTTTGGAAGCAACTAGCATGATTCTCCACATTGTGTGTACTAACATTAGTAGTTCCACTATCAGAGAGAACTCTGATTACTGCTGGCTCCACAAACGAAATGCAACCTTTCATTGCATTGGGCCTAGCTTTTCAGTTGCTCACAAGCAGCATCACTGTTGCTATGTCTGTTGCTGATGCTAGAACTGCTGTTTTTGTTGTTGTCGTTGCCGTCGTCGCCGTCGTCGTCGTCGTCGTGGTCGTCGTCGTCGTCGCCATGGTGGTCTTCGAATAGGTGGTTGTGGTGGTGGTGGTGCTGGTGCTGGTGCTGGTGGCGGTGGTGGTGGTGGTGGTGGTGGTGGTGGTGTCGGTTGTTGTTCTGTTGTTAGTTTTGTTGTCATTCCTGTGGCTTGCGACTGTGTTCTCACAATTGTCAATGGCTTGTATATCATTGAACACAGCCTCCGACAGCTCTTTTCTCCAGGTGACTACCGATGACCTGCCCCGCCGCATGGCTGTAGACGCTGTGTCTCCGCGCAGTGCTGCCGGCGCCCTTGACCTATAGAAACAGGAAGCTGAAGACATGCTCGAACTCCCGATCTACTTGACTTCGCTTTTGATACATCTCCATGTCGCTGCTGTTCCTTGTCATCACGCCTGCATCCATCCAAAGGGGTTCATACCGAGAGACCATCCCACATTTGCAGCATGCATGCGGACATGGGGCACGCACTTCTCATGCTCCTTTTTGCTCATCACGCATAAGCAATTTTACATAAGTGAATACACAATAATACACATAAGCCCATCCACAGATATATGCGTGGTCGCATTGACACACACGCACACACACACACACATACACACGTGCTTGCGTACATACGCACATACGTACGTACGTGCGTAGATATGCATGCACATACATACACGCATACACAAATACACACATATGCACATTGTTGTACACACTTACGTACATTGACATGCTTACAGACAGATGCACATGCAGATTTAGTACATGCATGTGCATTGGTAATTACGTGTGTGGGCGAACTGTGCTGTCGCATTGATTTGCTGCGCTGTACGGTACTGTGGGGTGCTGTAATGTCGTGTACTTTATTTGTTTGCATCTACTTGAGCGGGTACGTATGTTCACGTTGCAGCACTCAAATTTGTGTAATCTTTGCACGCAGGTAAGTGGAAAAGCGAGTAGGTTGGATGTTGATATGTTAAGCAATAAGGTAATGACATGCCGGTTTGTGTTACATGCCCATGTGCATGGACTCGCCTAAGCAATCTATCTATCTGTCTATCTATCTATCTATTCGTTTAATCTCATCTTATCCGGTATCTGTCTATCCATCCACGTACCTACCTATCAATCTATCTATCCGTCCTCTCGCGGATTTGCCATGCACGCACATGCACGCACACACTCACACACGCACACGCACAAATGCATGCACACGTGTTGCTGGCGAGTACATCTGCATGGGCACTAACGTGTACTTATAAGCTTATCATACAGACCGGCATCCAGGCATCAATGTGTGCGTGATAGATGGGAAGGCCAGTAGGCAGGTTGGGTCAACCGCTTATATCGTACTGCGGCTTAAAAATGGGATGTGGCGACAGTGGACCAGAGTGAACCAATGTGTTGGGATTGGCCAGGCCTGATACGTCCGGCCGCAACGCAGGGGCCTTGAGCGGTTTCTCCAGCGCTCTCTGCTGCTTTGTGAATCTGTCCCAGCTGTGGCTTTCTCAAAGATTTCTTGCTGGGTCGGCCCGAGGCTTGCCACCGGTCTCAGTGCAGAGGTGCTCTCGGGATCGAAACATGTTCATGAGGTCCACGTAGTGCTCCGCGAGATCCCAGAAGTGTCGTCGTAGAAGACACGCGGAAAACCATGAGAGGACCCCGATGCCGTCAATGAGACTTTCCTGGGTGCACGCAAAGGACGCTCCTTGAGCCTGGATGTTCCTTGAGCCTTGAGCCATCAAAGCCTGAGGATCCTTCTCAATCGTTCCTTTGCCAGAGCTCCTGGTCCCATTGAGGACGCAGCCCGCGCGGCTCACGGACTCCGAGCCCAGGCAGCGGGAGTGCATAGTGCCAGAACGAGCGCGGGCTGAAGCTGATCGGGATGTGCAGTTGTTGCTTCGGCCTATGCAGCGCCCGCTTGAGCCATTCCCCCTGCCTCAAAATCTACATGTCACAATTCTCATACAGGCGGCGCTTTCGGCGGGAACAGTCCGAGCCTTTCTTGGGGTGCTGTCTCCGCAGGCAAGCCGGGTTTCGGGCACTTCCTGCGCGCGACTGCCCGACCGCTGCCCCTGCAACCCTAAGTCCAGGCAATTGTCGTTGCCATCATCAACGTCGTCGTCATCATCATCAACATCAACATCAACATCAACATCAACATCAACATCATCATCATCGAAGTCAACATCAACATCATCATCGTCATCATCATCATCATCGTCAATGTCATCCTCATCGCTTTGTCATCGTCGTCATCGTCAGTCATCGTCATCACTATCGTCTCACGGGCCCGCTATCATCCGACAATTGATCCGAAGTGAGTGCGCTTGCATAGTCCAACGACTATTGTCACGGCATCTCTAAACACCTGAGACTGTGATAGCATAATATAGCATAATATAGTATAATATAGTATAATATAGTATAATATAGTATAATATAGTATAATATAGTATATTATAATGTAGTATACTATGTTAAAATACACACACACGCACATATATATATATATATATATATATATATATATGTAATTTATTATCCGAAAGCCCAGAAGCCTAAACCTTTATCCTCAACCAGAAGCTGAGGTTCCGTCTTGAATAGGAGCCCGGAACTTGGCTTTCAACAGGCGGCTACGGGGTGGATGTCGCTTCGCGTGGCGCTGCGGCTGCTGCCCCAGCTGGAGGGGAAGGGCTTCACAGGAGGTTCTCGGGTAGTACGGAATACCGAGCCCCAACGAGACCCCTGCTGTCCTGCAGGGCGCCTGGTGCAATCGCAGTTTCAACAACGTGCGTCCAGCAGAGGCTCGAAATCCACGGGAGAAGTCACGTGCTTTCGTGCTCCTCAGTCCGAGTTGCTTGACCTCCTCCCTGGTCGGGTCATCGTCAAGCAAAATTGACCGCGTTTGACATGTTCGACTGATCTCGAAAGGTTCAGGCACACTGAGCTCGGGCGAATATCATTATGCTGGACACACATCAATCATGAAGACCCAAGCTCAATCACTCGTTTATTTAACTCGTGCAAAGTGCCACATTTGTTGGGTTGCTTAGACGCTGCAACAGGCCGTGGGCGCAGCAGCTGCAGTCACCTACAAGGACTTATCCGATCAGCGACATTTTGCTTCCGATGTTGTACGGCTGAGCGGTGTCTTGTGTAGTTCAGTAAGGTTGTTTCAAGGACTGAACAGGAGATACAGCCAAGCAGAAAGGCCGCTAGTAGTAGCGGTAGTGGTGGTGGTGGTGGTGGTGGTGGTGGTCGTAGCAGTAGTAGCAGTAGTCGTAGTCGTAGTGGTAGTAGTGGTAGTAGTGGTAGTGGTGGTAGTAGTAGTAGTAGTGGTGGTAGTAGTGGTGGTAGTGGTAGTAGTGGTGGTAGCAATAATTAGTCATCGTCGTAAAGTCGTCGCAGATGTCCTAGTCATAGTCGTGGTAGTGGTGCAAGTTGGGTGAAGGAGCCACAGATGCGGCGTCGGGAGCGTGCTGGCGAACAGCGATCGACATCCCCACTTCGCTGGCGATAACGTGCAGAAGTACGAAGGAGTGCTCACCGCTGCCCCGTCACGAGTAGAAATACATAATGCTGACAGTGAAACTGAATATGATGCTTTTAACATTGCTCTAGCCATTACGTCTTCCGCCTGTTCCTGCTGCGCTGTTGCTGCTGCTACTCCCAGCTGCTACTGCTGCTACTGCTGCTACTGCTGCTACTGCTGCTCCTACTACTATTACTACTACAAGTGGCACGACATGAGAGAGCTGAAGCCGCAACCCTCTCCCTCTCCGTTTCCCTCAATCAGCTCCACGATTCGCTCACGCGGTTCAGTCAAGCAAAGCGTGATGCTGCGGGCTTTCCTGTCGTTCCGCACTCCCTCAGCACCGGAGAGCTCAAGCTTGCAGGGATCTTCGGCCTCTTCGACCTTTGTGCTGAGTTGTTCGAGTTTCATTCGATGGAATGGTGGTCATCATGCAGAGAGGTAGCAGAACCACACACTATCACGAGCGAGCGTCTGGACAAGCACTCAGTTGGAGCAGGAGTTCAGTCGGAGAAACACCCTCAAGTACCGATGTGTGGGTTCGGGCCCAGGCAACCTTCCGAAACGAATGGCCCATTGAGTATCAGACGTCTTCCTCGATATTTGCCAAGCTTGTCCATGCCAAGCCCCGGCGGACTTGAGCCTGTAACCAGAACTCACGCTCCGGATGCTCTGTGGGTTTAAGACTCAGGATCCAGGGCTTTGCGGTTCCCTACACCTCCATGCAGGATCGAACCTGGTTCAAGTCAGCTGTGGGGAACTGAGCGGCGTTCTTCTGCGAGCACCCTCTTGGCGGAGTGAACACAGATAGGCTAGGGCACGGTTTATGTCACGTATGTTGCCCCTATTCTGGCACATAGCCTAGTAAGAGCTCGAAATTCTCTTGCCTCGTCTGGGATACCTCGGCCTTGCCCAGATTTTCAAGATGCTCCAGTTGGAGTGATGTCATGTACATACGGCGTGACTCCGGCACTCAGCTCAGCCGTTGCTGAGCTTGTCTGCACCTTCCGAAGGAAGAGACAGACTGCAAAACGAGTCGCCTTTAGGCCCTTCTTGCAGAGATGAAGGATGCAAGATTCGTAGATGACAGCTCGAGTCAACAGCTCTGCAGCATAGCTGAACCGGTGCCAAAAAGTTGGTCTTCCGATGCTGAGTGATGACGGCCTGCCGGCGACGTGCACAAGTGGAAGTTGAGGCTGACTCTGGCGCAGCTTGCTTGCATGCGCATGATCTGGCAGTCGTATCCACAGCTGTCCAACCAGCGCTAGCCATGAGCCAAATCGCGACATGCCCAGCCACTGTACCATGCGGAAGAAACATCAACCTTCTTTGGCAACATGTTCTTACCCTTGCAAAGAGTCGTACAGCTTCCAAATGTGGTGCAGCAGACGTGTACCAGTTCGAGGTTCGGCTCCTTCGGTACTTCGGTATACTTCGGTAGGGGGGTTGTTTTGCTGGCAGCCAAAAACAAACCTAGCCCTGCAGCCCAGCTCGCCTTGTTTTTCGGAGCGCTCGGGTTGCGATCCGTCGTTGCTGTTGATCGTGATGTTGCCTACTGGGCTTCGAATTCCTGGGACGGGCGGGGGCAGTCGAACGAACTATACGGCCTTTCCAGTTCGCCTTGCAAACTCGGGCACCAAATCGCCGAACTGGTTCCGGACGTTTTTCGGGGCGCCGATCGGCCATGCAGAATTCGTCGCTGCTAAGGGGGCAGCAGCACTTGCAGGAGGAACGTCAGTTGTTGGACCAGCTCCCCCCGGTGCTTGGCCTGCAATGA